TGACCCCCCCCCCCCCCCCCCTCTCTCTCTCTCCCCCACCGCGCACCCCTCTCCCACTTCCTCTCATCCATGTTGAGGCCTCAAGTCTCTCTCTCTAACACAACACTTGTTCTTGTTGGTCGACGCGCGTTCCTCGGCCCCCGCGGTCTTCCCTTTGCCCTTTGCCCTTTGCCCTTTGCCCTTTGCCCTTTGCCCTTTGCGTGGTTGTGGGCTTTATGGAGATTCCATCCTGCCCATCTATCTAGCACAGATTGATCGCACTTGTCTCGGGGTCACCACCACCACCACCACCACCACCACCAACCATCTTCATCTCTTCCATCATCAGCAAGCATCGCGACCGCCATCCATCATCACATCCGGTCTTGACCTAGCCCGCTCTGCTCGCGCCTCTCTGCTCGCAGTTACCCATCAATCCAACCGACTGCCACTTGCATTTGGGTAGCAAAAGCCCCGTCGCCGCTGCCGCTGCGACTCGTGCCGCTACTTGGCTTTTGCTGCAGCCCTGCCTCTGCGCTTGCCTTGACCCCTTCCCTCCACCACCACCGCCAACATGTCGGGCAAAGAATTGCCTCGCCCCGTTTACATGCGCACATCCTTTGAGGCGCCAGACTCACCCCTGACAGCCTCACGGTATGTCTCATGCACGTTCTCTCAGATTCTCCCGTGCCACACACGACTCTCGATGCCGCCTTCGCTGCCGTGCTCACTCACATGGGCGCGCCTGCACACGTTGCCACACTCTGCTTAGTTTCGGCCACCTTGGTGCTCACAGCACCCCAGGCCGCACCCCTACCCGGAACTATGGCCAGCGACGTACCCCTGGCTCAGCCTTTTCTGATGCAAGTGACAACTCTGGCCTTACCCCGGGCAAGATGCGCGCTCCCAGCCTCTTGCAAAACTTTTCGAACGCCGATTTTGAGCTCGAGGCCCAGGGCATCACCGATGCCGTCGATGCCATGTCTCCCCCTGATCTCCGCGGCCTCAACATGCACGGCTCGGTCAGTTGTTTCACTCTCTTTGCTCCCGGTCCTCGCTGGTCTTGAAGCACCAACACCGTTGCCTCATGCTGCTGGCACTCTACACAGGCGCTGAACGACTCTGGTCTGGGTATGAGCATGTTCTCCCCGTTAAGCAAGACGGATGGCCTGGGTTGCTTGACCGGTGCCTCGCCATGCGTGCAACGGCAAAACGAGGTCCTTGACATTCAATCCCATGGCACAATTCGGCAACGCCGTCGCATGAACCTTGGGCGCTCTCCTCCCCGCATTGAGCCCTTTGAACTCGTTGCCAAGCAAGATGAAAAAACCGAACTTCGCGCCACCTCACCAACCGTTCGCCGCACCAAGGTCAGCTTCCGACCCATCTTGCCGGCCCACTCGCGCACTTTCAGCCTCGAAATCATGCTCTCACAAATCACGTGTCCCTGCTCTGGGGTAAATTACTGCTTCTCCTTTTCCCACAGACCTCCAAACGCCGCTTGCTGACGGAAGCCAGCCAAGCTCAATCAGAGCAAGTTGAGATCGAGCACAGCAGCGGCCCCTCCCCGGCAGCAACGGACGTCATCACGCCACCGTACACGACCACTTCTCCGCCAATGACTCAGCTCCTCGAGCAGTCCCAAGCCCTGCCAGAGTCACACGCACACGTGCAACAACATCATCACCAGCAAACTGTGGCACAGCGGCAGTCACACCAGCCCCACCAACACATGGTCGCAGCTACCACCACCGCCGCACCTGCCACAAGCGCCGGCATGGCGGCGGCAACCACATATGCCTATGGGTCCCATCCCCATGCAATGACAGCTCTCCCACCTCGAGCAGACAATTTTGCCGCTCGGTGGTTCGACGGTGATCCACGAAACAAGCGCGAGAAGAAAATGACGGCACACTCACATGCCAAAAAAGGCTCAGCCAGCAAGCGCGGCGAGTACAAGTGTGGCAAATGCGGCTTTTACCCCAAGAAGCAAAAGCACAACTGCGATGAGGAGAAGCGCCGGCGCCAATCCGATGGTCGTAACAAGAGCCTGCCCAAAGCTGCCGCGGGCCCGCTTCCCATGCCCAACTTGGCCACAGCCAACCAAGTTCAAAACGCGCTCTTGAACCCCGTCAGCACTCCCAAAATTGCCCTGGGCGGTGACCCCATGATGACCCCTGGGGCATGGTAGGCTGCCAGATCCCCTGGGTTATCACATCGGTTGTGTGGGCCATTGTTGTTCCCAGTACACTCGGTGTTTCGCCTTTATATTTCTCTTGTTGTGTCTGACTCTTTTGTGCTTTGGTGTCTTCTTACCAGTCGGTAATCGGCAACTGCGCTTGACGCAGTTGAGCAAATATTAAATTGTGTCAGAGCGGAAGACCAGCCCTGGCACGCTTGTGTTGTCGCTCAATGCTTCCTGCTACAACGTGTTTTTGTGGCGATGTTCCGGAGTGGCGTGAAACTTGCTAACAAAGGTTGTGGTTGAGGCCAGTTCGTATATGCTCTTCTCCTGCCTCTCGTCTTATGAGTTTTCTTTTCATTTCGTACCTTCTTGTCGGGCGTCTCGACGTGTCACGTATTTGCTGGTTTTTGTCTTCCTTGTATGAGTGGTCCGTTTGTGTATACTTGCGTCCGCCCATTCTGTGATTTGCCTTTTTGGTGCACTTTCTCTTTCTTTATGCTTTTGTTTTGCGCTTACTGCTCTTTGATGCCCACCGAACATTGGCGGTTGACATGGTCGGAAGTGGATCAAATTGAGCATCTTTATGTAAATTGATATACCCAAGCAACAACACAATTTAAACCGTAGAGAACTCATTTTTGGCCGATTGCTGACCTTTTTTTGATTTTCATTGTTTTTTGGGAGGGGTGCAGCCAACAAGTTTTCAAGGTTTTTAATTATGGCCGCTCAATCATCGAACTTGATGCGCTTGCTGCGGTCACGGCGATCGCCGCTGTCAGACTGGTGCATGGACCGCTGAGTTTTCTGTCGAAGGGTCTCCAGACTCTCATCGTCTTCGGCAAATTCCATGGCAAGGCGGCGACCGTATAGATGCGTGCCGCTGAGCGCCGAAAAGGCATCGCGGGCTTCTTGCTTCGTGGAAAACTCGATGAAAGCGAAGCTACGCAACGAGCAAGCATTGGTGTGAGAAAGAGTGCAAACGGACAGACGTGTGCGAGAAGAGCACGAAGTCAAGCTTGGAATACATGGAGGAAAAAAGAAAAAAAAAAAATGATGCCCACTCACCCGCGATGTGTGCCGTCATATTGCTTGCGGGGCAGGCGTACGGAGACAATGTTGCCGTGTGGCGAAAAGAGCTGCTGCACCTCCTTGGGTGTCGCTTCAAAGGCAATGTTGCGGACGACCAACTTGTTGGACTTGGCCTTCATTTTCTTCCCCTGGATGAATAAAACCACAAGCCGGTTATGAGGTTGAGCAAATCAAGCCTTTGTTGCAGAGCTGGACGAAGACGCTGAAAAATGTTGAACCAAAGATGAATCGAACCTGGCGCTCGCGCTTGGTGAGAGGGGCACCTGTGCGCTCCGACATCTTCAACTCAAGCGTATGCTCTTGAAGCGACGAGCCATGGAGCATCTTAATGGCTCGCACGGCATCTTGACGCCTAGATATTTCAAAGACAAGGCTCGTAAGGAGGCGACAACTTGGCACGCAACGTGCCCCGCAAAGATGCGAAGGGTGACGCACGACTTGTATTCCACAAAGCCAAAGCCCATGGAGAGCGGTCGACTCGGCTCCTTGGGGTTCGGTTTGCGAGCCACCCGAACCGAACTACGGGGCAGCCACAAGTCCAAAAGGGTAAGACACGTCAATGAATACAAGCATGAATAAAGAAGCGTAACGTCCACATGAACACATGAAAGAGCCCGAGCACACACCGAATCGGTCCAATGCCCTCAAAATGATGACGCAGCGCATCTTCGTCCGTGTCAAAGTGCAGGTTCTTGACGAAGACGCTTGAGCTGGGGCCACTCGTATCCACCTCCTCAGCTCCTTCGTCTTTGCCTGCAGCATTTCCGCGCGAGGAGCGGGGTGTTAAATATGTATCACAACGCAGTACAGTACAGTACAGTACAGTACAGTACAGTACAGTACAGTACAGTACAGTACAGCACAGTACAGTACAGTACAGCATGTATAAAGCTGACTGTGGCGGGCTACAAACCGGAGAGTTCTTCTGCAGGGTGGGCTTTCGCAGACTGGCTCGAATTTGAAGATTGCGCAGCATCGTGTGGTTTTTGTTGCTGCGTAGTGTCGTCCTTGGTCGCCGCTTTCTTCTTGTTCGCCTTCTTGTTGACATCGGTGCGTTCCTTCTGAGGCGGTGCCTCGGCAGGCGCCGCAGGCGCTGCGGTTGCCTGCGCTGTTGGTTCTGCCTTGGAAGCCGAGTCAGCGGGCCAGTCGGTGGTAGGTTCTTCTGGCGAGTCGACAAAACACTGTTTCGGTGCCCATTCCAGATAGAGCGGCTCATCCTTGTACTTGCGATAAGCCAACTTGCGAAAACCACGACTAGTGATCGATGCAACCAACCGAATGAATTCATCGTGCGCACGCTCATTGCTAAAGCTGAACGCAACGCACACACTGAGCAGACACAGTTCAACGCACCGTGCCTCACTCGGCTCCATGTATTCAACGAGCGCCATGGTTCGCGAAGGAGGCATGACAAAGTTGCTCAGATCACCATGCGCTTCAAAAAGGGGTCGCAATGTCTTCTCCTCCGCTGCAAACGGCAAGTTTTTCACCAGGAGAGTCTAGCATGCGCAGCAAAAAGTGCACGGAATGAGACAAAACTTCAATGAGAACCCGGTCAGAGCGTTGCCAATATCCATGGAGAGGTTGAACAGCAACTACCTACCGTTGTGCTGCGCTTGCCAATGCGAGTGTCAAATGCTGAAAGCTTGACGCCATGCTCTTCAAGAAACCGTTTGTTCTCTGCGATAATGTTTGATTCGCCCAAGGCCATTCGCACAGCCAGCGAGGCTTCTCCACTCTACAACCACGATTGCATACATCGAGAATGAATAACGGGAGCATTGCATGACACCGTTAAAAAAAAGCGACAACACCTCGCTTGGAGGCTCCGTAGAGCACGTACATCATCCATCAGTTCGCCTTTAGAAACACCGAATTCATCGGCCATGGCTTCGGCCACGGCATCCTGACGGAGGAACAGTGTGCTCCAGTTGTAGGCATCACCAGCCTTTTGCTTCTGCTTGGTGGCCTTGTCCTGATTCATTGAAGCAGCAACCGCCATCAAATACGTTAGAGAATACAAGCACTTGAATAGAAGAAGGCACGGAAGCTCCAATAAGAACATACTTTTTTGTAGTTGCTGCCCTCCTCGACTTCAAAGTCAGCATCCGTTCCGGGCTTGTGGCGAGCCGGCAGCACGTGCAAAAGACGGCCCTGGCAGACAACAATGTCATTGGTGTCTCAAGTAAATCGCACGCCCAGTCATGTGAAGGGAGGGTAAAAGCAAGGAATTGATCCTGGCGCGCACCATACCTGAAAAATGGTATTGTCCAAGTTTTGAAACGCCTGGCTGGCATGCTCGGGGAGGACAAAAGTAATAAACGCAAAGCCCTTGGGCTTCTTGGTTTCGCCATCAATCGGCATATGCAGCTCTGACAAGGGACCTTGAGAGGTGAATGCAGAATAACGCCGCGTAGACCAAAATGGAGGACGGGGTACGAGAAAAAGAGAGTGTAGTGAGCGTAAGATGGTATTGTAAGCTAAGGTAAAACAAACAATAATAGCAAAAGGGGGCGTTGAGGGGAATCGAGAACGATGCGCTCACCAAAAGCCTCAAAGAGCTCGCGGAGCTCATCTTCCCGACAAGCATACGGCAGATTGCGCACAAACAAACGGCCGGATTCGCCAATGTCCTCATCTTCGGGTCGCAAAGGTGCGGGATAGTCCTTTTTGGGCTTATCTTCCGGCTCCAGCTTCTCAATCTGTTGCATGATGTTGCGCTCCGGGATGGCCGCTGTCACCTCGATGTAGCGTTTGCCTGCAGATCGCGGGTCCGGTCAAACGTTTAAGAAGAACGGAATGCTTTGAGCAGAGGTCGCCTGGTAGCGATAGACCCAAATCAAAAACATGCGCGACGCACCCATTTTGCTCTTGTGCTTCTCGAGCGCCTTCTTCCACTCTGGTTTCGTGGCAAAGTCAACGAAAGCACGACCACTGGAGCGCTTGCGCTTGTCGAAGAGAAGCCGCACGTCGATGGGCTTGAGTGGCTTGAAAAAGCCAACGATCTCGGGTTCACGGGCTTTGAAGGGCAGGCCCAGAACACGGACGGTAAAGAAACGCTCCGGCTTTGTCAATTCTTCCACAGGTGCCTCATCCAGCTCCTCAGCGTCACTATCGACCTCTTCGCTACCAGCGGTTTGTGCCTCTGTGCGCTGGAAGATAGCTTCCAGGCCATCCTAAATAGCGCACGAGTTGAGACAACAGAGCCTCTGAGGTCAGAATCTGCCACAAGAGGCGAACGGCCACCAAGGGAGCACGCGAGAGCGTAGCTGACGAACAATGCATTCAAACGCAGTCAGTACCTGATCCGTAGAAAACTGCTTTTTCTCCGCCTTGTTGCCATTATCACTCTCGTCATGATCCTGATCCTCATCCGCATCTTCATCCTCCTCCTCATCGTCGTTGCTGTCGTCGTCGCTGTCGTCGTTGCTTTGCCGATCTGTGGTTTTACCATCTTCCAGCATGGAGGGATCCTCCTCCTCCGCTTCCGCGTCGTCATCCTCAAAATCAGCTGCCGAAGACTCGCCAGTCTTGGACCGAAGCCACTGAGCACCCAGCAAGTCAAGTGTTAGGCCGAGCATAAGACTGTCAACTGAGCTCATCATCCTTATACGCGCACACAAAAGTACAAGTGGGCACAAGGGGCTTACATCCAAATTTGACATGGCTGCCTTTTGCTTCTGCAGGGCCACTACAGCCTGCACATCTTCGCCTGCTCCCTCTGTATCGATGTCGTCACGAGCATCATCGCTCTTTTGATCAGCGGCAACTACGGCACGCACGGTTGTGAAAAAAAAGAGAAGAAAAAAAAAGAAAAAAAAGAAACGGGGCCATTGCTACATATGCCCAGCAAAAGAGGGGAGCAACGACAGCAGCAGCAACAACGACAACAACAAGGCGCCGGAGTCTAGCTTGTTGCCGCACCTGGCAAATCCTGGTATTCCTCGTCGTCGCTGTCATTGTCGTCATCGTAGGCAACCTTCGGTTTGGGCTGGTCTTTTTCCACTGAGGAAGGACCGGCCACGGCCTGCGTCGGGTTGGGCAACGATGACTGCAAAGCATCGTTGGCCCAGGTCTTTTGGCGGCCTGTATTGCCCATCAATTGCATGTACTCAGCCAGCTGGGGGTCTGCTGATGGATCCTGGGCCAACTTCTCGAGGCGCGCCAGCTGTTCCTGGTCCTGAGCCAGAGCGGCGGGCAACTTCTTTTTCTTCTTCGACGGTGCACCGTCAGATTCCTGCAGTGCGCCGGTGAGCTTGGCAATCATGCGCAAACGTTGCGACTGGACAAGACATGGCGTTTGAGGTAGACAGCGTGAGCCCAGTCGAAGATGAAGCAGAAGGGGAACACAGGCTTCGATAGCGCCGGGTAGGTCCAAGCACTCTACCTCGCGTGACTCGTAGGCCGAGGAGCCTCGCGATTGTTTGGACCAAGGCCGAGGGAGGCGTTGATCGCCGACAGCCAGGGCATGTGCGACCTATACAGCGCAGCCGCGACGGGCAGCATGAGTCGTGTGCTTCAGTCAAGCCACCATCTGCTGAGTGAGGGCTGAGCAAGTACCTCAATCTTGGAGGTGTCGACGAAAACATCGTTCTCCTTGCTCACGGCGGCGGTTGCTGAGTCTACGTCCTTAAAGCCGATGTAGGCCATGCGCCGTTTGCTCAAAAGCTTGACCTACGCCAAGCACCCATCATCGCCCACAAAAGCAAAGCACAGTCGCAGAGCGGGATATGGCGCGCAAGCGCAAGCCGAGAGTTAGGAAGGGTGTGCATCATCAGGACGCGAGCGTACATGCAATTGCGCAGGCTGAGCCTGGAGCGCAAATCTGGATACAACAGGCACGGGCACAGACACAGGCAAGAGAAGACGATGGAATAGAATCTCAGCGAATGCTCTGACCTGGGTCAGCTCGCCATACTTTGCAAACAGCTCACGCAAGCGTGGCTCTTGGATGTGTTTCGGCCTAGTCAGAGGATCACAGCCAATCAGTTTGAAGTTTGCGAACAAACATACAGGCAAATGCAGGCCCAGACAGGTCACGCTGTGAAAAGCATGGATCCTGCCTCTGCCGTCAACAATACCACGTGGCGTTGACGGCGTTCGCAGCTCGGCCAAATCGAACGGCGGCTGCAGCCTGCGCCTTCAAAACCCGATGCCAGCAAAGACTTACAAATTTTTCACAATAATGCGCGATGAAGGCACGCTCTGGCCCGAGCTGCCGTGTTGGTCCGCCATCTCTCGCGGTCCCGAGCGTCCAAAAATGATGCACGTCGGTCAACGCTGAGAGCTGTGTGCAAAGCGAGAGAAGCAGGAAAGAGAGAGTCACCATGTGCTTGCTGCACCAACAAAACGTGTGTACCTTTGGTGTTAAGGTCTTGAAGTACAGAAAGCGAAAACAGTCACAAGATTATTTTCTTGTTGGAAATTGCGCGCGAGAACAGTCCACGGCTGAGCTGAGTCGAGCCGAGCCGAGCTGAGCCGAGGTTGAGCTGGGCTACGCTGAGCTGAGCTGAGCTGGGCTGACGAAGCCAGTGTGAGGCAAAGGTGCTGGAGGCTAAACATCGTGAAATTTAGGACAACTTGCACGTGGACGGTGTCTGATCGTGGTTCAAAGATCGTTGCTGGGCGTCAGGAGCCGCCGGTCATGAGCAGCTGGAGCGCCAGCACACAGCGCCAACGGGCAGCGATGGCAGACAACTCGGCCGTGCCCATGGACATTGCCTCAGGCCGTTCCGTGCCGTCTCAGTCCATGGCAGGTGCGAATGGAACACGCTGACCCTACAACCCTTGTTTATAAAGTGACTTCTTACGCTCAAGGCAAAGGATGGCTCGCCATGTGTGTCACCCATCAGCTGTGCAGGCTCACGGCATGTGCTTCTCGATCCGAATCAGGCTCTTTTCAGCAGGCTTCCCTGGTCAACTTTGGCTCGCTAGGCCTATTTCAGTCCGTCCTCCAGCCCGTAGATGGCAATAGCTACTTTAGGGGCTTTGAGCGTGGCCTGGACGACGACGAAGAGCTCCAAGAGCTGAGTCAGAGCACAACCTCGCTTCAAGCAGTTGGGGCCGATGGAAGTCGCGGTTCTGCATCGCATAGCTATGGCAGCCATGGTTCTAGTCGCGATGGTGCATCGCAGCCACTTTTACATGCACAGTCTGCGGCTAAATATCAGACGACTGAGACAGGTGCGCATGCCTTGTCGCGATCAGGACGGGAAGCGCGTTGAAGCGGCTCTCGAGCGGCGTCTGATTGGGCTTGGCCCATACTAGCCTGACTCTTCCGAATCATCTCATCTTCGGTTCTTCTCCTTCTTTTTGTGGTCATTTTGCTCCCAGTGGAGGTGCCATCGCGGGCCTTGTCGCCTAGGCAGCGACTCTTAGTGGGCCTGCTCTATGGCTGCATCAACTCCATCATCCTCATCCCTGTTCTGATCTCGTTTGCACAAATCATTTTCCGAGACCCGTACTATAAGGAGAGCATGCCCTATCTCATCAAGCTCGTCATTTTATCCTCCAGCATCCATCAAATTATTTTCACCACCTTCAGTACCCTGACTTTTGCCATTGGCCAGGTGCAGGACGCAGGACTCATCTTCCTCTCCAGCATGGCCAGCGCCATTGTGACTTATGGCAAGCAGCATGACCTCTCACACGCAGACGTCCTTGCCACAACTCTGTGTTGGTTGGCCATCAGCACTGCCAGCCTGGGAGCGGCTCTCTTTGTAACTGGCCGGTGCGTTGAGCAGCAACACACTCTGTCAGATGCTTGCCGTCAGACAGGGGTCGGTGGGGGAAAGGTCGAGATTTTGCAGCGGTGCCCACTGTACGCACGAAATGGAATTCTGACAGAATCTCTCGCTTTGCTTGACCTTGCATTGCTAGCCTGAAGCTGGCATCGCTGGTCCAATACCTGCCATTGGCTGTTATTGCCGGCTATCTCGGTATGTGACCTCACGCGCTGTAGTGCGGAATCAGATTTTGTGCTTGCCTCATCTAGGCGCAATGGCCATGTCTTTGTTTTCAGCATTTATCGGCCTGTACTGTTTTGAAGCGGGCTTATCGTTAATGAGCGGCAAGCAGATCTTGACCTTTCGCGATTGGGGCGCACCCTTCAACCGTGACAGCATGATACTCATTACGCCAGGCCTCCTCTTGGGCATCGGTCTCATCTTTGTGACCAATCGCTTCCGTCATTTTGCCGTGCTGCCGTGCTGCCTCTTGGCGATTCCCGTCATTTTTCACATCATCCTGGCTGCCAGCGGAACCTCTTTGGACGAAGCACGCGTTGCTTTTGGCGAGGGGTGGTTGGCCCCCTCCACGGGGTCGACGAAGTTCTGGGAGGTTTGGGAGCACTATCAGTTTGGCAAAGTGCATTGGGGGGTCGTACCCAAGTAAGGCATTCACCTCTTTCTGGCTACCTTTGTGCTTCAAAAGGCGGCTTCGGCTTGGGGTACTTCACCGCGATGAGGGCTCACTTGTTTCTTGCCTGCTTTCCATGACCGGATTGGGGAACTGCGCAGATTGATTCCAACTTGGATTGCCATGTATTTCGTTGTGGCTTTTTCGAGCAGCTTGGATGTGGCGGCCATTCAGGTCTGCACGCATTGAACGCCCCCCCCTCTTTTTTTTTAACGAATGCCTAGTCTTCGACAGATGCATTGCATTCATCACTCTCAGCTCACTCATCATGCCGATTAGATGGAGCTGGGCAGTCGTTTGGACTTTAACAAAGAACTCTGTACTGTCGGTATCAGCAACCTGGTATCTGGTCTGACGGGTGGCTTTGTAAGGACTCGTAGCGCATGCGAGCGAGCCGCTTTTCCATGCTTGTCCACAGGCCAACGATGGTCGTTATGGGTGTCTGATCACGTCTCGCTTGTTCACGTAGACTGGCTCATACATTTTTAGTCAGACACTGTTCACCATGCGAGCCAACGTGCGTGTTTTTCCTCTTCTCGATTGGACACGTCGTGCTTTGTGTCTTGAGTTTTGTTCCTCATACTGAGCACGGTTGAGGGATGGCAGGTCAACTCTCGGATGGTCGGAGCTTTAGTGATTGCGTTGGAAGTGGCCATCTTCATGGTCCCAGTTTCCATTTTGGCCTTTGTCCCAAAATTCTTCTTTGGAAGTGTTTTGACCTTTATCGCCTTGGAGCTCATGTTTAGCTGGCTAATTCTCTCCTTCAAGCTGGTTCACGTCTCAGAGTACATCATTATTTGGCTGACCTTCATTGCCATCCTCATGACTAATCTGGAGATTGGCATGGGTGTGGGTTGTGGCCTTTCCATTCTCAATTTCATCTTCCAGTACGCGCAAACCAAGGTGTCGCACCAAGTCTATCGCAGCAGCAATGTGCAGCGTGACTTCCAGCAACGCTCTCTCTTGGCCAAGCATCGAAGCCGCATCATCTCCTACAAACTCTCGGGCTACATCTTCTTCGGATCTTCTCTTTGTACGCTTACCGCGCCGAAACTTGGTTTTGAGCACGCATCTCCTTCCGAGCATGTTGAACGGCCAAACAAGAAAAAAACGCTCGGCTTGGGACTTTGAAGCGTTGCTTGCGCTCATTTGGGGTCTTTTGTTTTTTTTTGCGTCTTGGCTTTAGCGCTTCTTAAAGAGTTTACAACAGGCCTTAGCATGGCCGCTGAGACGTCCTTGGAGGGCACTCGTTGCTTTCTTGTTGTAGACTTTGCTCAGGTCTTCAAAACTCATGCTCTTCTGATTGTTGTTTGTCATCTTGGACATGAGTAGCAGATGCGTTTGCATGTTAATTCTAACTGCAGTTGACGTGGCTTCTCTTAGGTGTCTGGCGTGGATGCCACAGCAGTGCGCTCTTGTTTTGTCGCGCTGAAGCAACTCGCGGTAATGTAAGTAACAGAATCGGAGGCATATGAACGACGGCATGCGATGTGAAAGGCCAAGGTGATGGTCACGGTGATTCGGGATGGGGCAACCCCAGAACATCTGATATGGAGTGGCATGAAAGAGGCGAACAGTGGAAGGTCGGCTAGTATGTGCGCTTTGGGGCCTTTTCATCTGAGTCTTGTGATCGGCGTTAGACATCGCCACATCCTGGTGTTTTCAGGACTTGATGCTAGCACAGAGCGCATTCTGCGTAGTCAATCTGTCCTTCCTGCCGAGGGTAGGTGACTTGGAATCCAACAATTTTGTCCGGGCCAGAGTTTCCGGCATGGTGAAGTTGGCTCAATCCCTCGGGAATCTTTTGCGTTTAGGCGAGGACGAATGGACGCAAGTGCTGTCAGACTTGGAACACGCACTTGAATGGGCGGAAAATGAGCTGTTGTGCATGGTTGGCGCAGATATCCACCCAGTCCAAGGGATTGACGCGCGAACGGTTGCTGGTGCGTCGCGAATTTTGCGAGCAGCTGGAGCCCTGTCTTACCAGAGTCTAGATTGGGTCTGATTGCAATTTTCCAACGATCCACTGTGAAATGTGCTCACGGCCAACTGGCCATAGATCTGCTCGCTGCTTATCTTGTGGATGAGGAGGAGGAAGCTACTTTTTCCAGAAGTGCATTGGAAGAGGCTCGGCGGTTTTTCACTGAGCGACGCGTGACGCAAGGCGAGGTGAGAGCGTTGCCGGCCTCCAGCGTCAGGCCTGCGCACGAGTGAAATGACAGCCAGGAGCCTGGTTGACCCCATTGCAGTTGTGCCTTCAACTTGTTTGAGGTCTCCTCATTGATGAAGCGCATGCAAACTGAGGAGCGTGATCCTCATACTTTGGGCATTTTTTCTGCTGTAGACGCTCTTTGATGTGGCTGAGCCTGCAGAGTCTGTCTATTTTCTATTGCAAGGCGACGTGGTATTGAGCAAGCCGACACAAATGCCGCGTCGGCGACGTGCACCTGCAATCATGCAGCGGTTTCGTGTATGTGCTTGTGCTTCATTCGTGCGCATTGCCTCCATGATGTTTGGGCAAGCATGCGCTGGCTTTTCCCTCTTTGATCTTTCCCTCTTTTTGTGTGTTGGGAATTGGCTGGTTTACTTTTTTCCTTGTAACAGCGCAATACGATTGGAGAGGAGCCGCTGATCTCTCACAAACTCATCATGCGTTGTCGTGCGGGAGGCATATTCGGTGCGTTTCAAACTGGAATGCACCTGGATCGCTCAACCGTTTGGCCCGCAGCCCGATATTTTTGCTTTTGATGATCGTCGCCCGCGTGGCGCGAGGTGTCGCACCATAGCTGCTTGTACATGTAATCTGATGCACTGGTCATGATCATTATCATGATGACTATATCATCTTATCGTTTTATCGACACAGGTGAGGTCAATTTTGTTCTGCGCCAGCCGCGGCCTTTTCGAGCGGAAGTTCGTGCCAACAGCATTGTTTTTGAGTTGACAAGGTCTGTTTGAGCGACTTGTTTTGGTCGATCTATGCCTGTCAAAGCCCAGCTTGAGGATTTATAATCTTTCTCATGCTTCTTGTGTCTGTTTGTTGGTATGTGGTCCGACGCAGGCAGCAGCTCGATGCCATGTTCGAGGAAGCACCAGAGTCTGGGTTGTTGGTTCAACGCGTCCTGATGAAATCAGCCTGCCTTTTGCTAAGCAATAATCTGGACTCGATTGTAGACTAGGCCTAGAGCGTAGAGCCTTGGCATTCGCATTTGGCCATTGATAGCTGCTCAACGCATCAGAGGCCGATCATGGTTGTCTTCTTTTTTTTCCAGGCCCAGTCATCAGCTGCACCTGCAGCGGTCTGCAGAAGATGCGAATTCGGGAGTTTGGCAGTCAAGTTTTTTTCTTCAATTTTTCTTCAGGCTTCAGTTTCAACTCGCTTGAATAATATAGCTGTCGGCCTTCCAGTCACGCGGAACTAATAGAAACTCGAACGAGGCAAACATGCATTGGGAGCCAATTGTCATGGGCATGACATCAAGCAACAAACCCAACCTTGGCTGGGGCAGCGTCATCACAAGAAAATAAAATCAAACACGGCACTTCACACTGGATGGTCAGCTGAGGGCAGATTAGTGTCAGAAGCCAGCCTTGGGCAAGGCAACGCTCTTCTGATCACGTATCAACACGCAGTGTTGTCCGCCACATGCAATCAAATAGTGACACAGGGATGATTATCGTCGACAGACTAGCCGTGTGACACATGGATGGGCCCGTTTGGGTTTAACTGCAGGGCTGAGGGCGAGACGACAAACACCTGCGAAGAAGACGGGAGGGCTGAGCGCGTCAAGCCTATCAAGTCTTGCGGTGTTGATTGGTGATGCACGACAATGTGGATTTGAGCGTTTGGTGGCAGGCTGGTCAGAGCATGCATGGGAAAAGGAGTAAGGGTGCTTGAGGCCAGCGATGAGGCAGGGGCACATGAGGTTGTCGTGAAGGGCCCCGACGCGTCTGCCGAGGTGGTGCACGCAATATCAGAGGAGGGCATAGAGCTGGTCGCAGAGGTCGAGGGAAGATCCGCCTTATCATCCTCAAAATTGGGTTGTGCAATGGGCGTCTGACAATGTTTCACCGGCCCAATAGGGATGCGATGAGTGAGAGACGAGAATCTGACATGTAGACTGCGTCGTGCAAGCGCAACCAGGCTGAGGCAACGGGACAGGCACCTACCGGAAACGAGAAAGGTAGTGTGCGACTGGGACCACCAGACAAAGGCTGGCTCGAAGTGGGTGTTTCGTCTGATTTGGGCGGACTTTCGGCGCTCTGTCGAGCCCGCTTGGCCTATCAACAACATAGCAGGTGAGATCCAGAGTCGCCAGCAGGGCTTGGGGTGAATTGATCGCGGTTTCAGAGACACCCGCCAACGTACCACGGGTGTACACGCAGACGAATCGGGACGACCGGCAAGGAGTGACTGTCGCTGGGAACGCTTGGTGGGTTGACGATCAGGGGACAGAAATTCGTCGGCTATGAAAGTCACAGGCCAGGCGATGCAAATGAGCGGTGCAGTGTGGGGTCCAGGACTGCTTGTCCAGAACGCATCACTCGGGAAATATTGCAGACACATAGTCGATTCAAGCACAGAACACAGGGCCAATTTCTCGTACTGTTGATGGCAGGCAGCTTGGCTGGGTCCTCGCCACACCAAACAAACTTCGTTTTCCCCTTTTGAGAGCCCGAATCCTGAAAAGGTTGTGGTTTGATCACAAGGGCAGGTGCAAGTCAGAAAACGCTGGGCCTTGACCCTGTCGGTGTGTGGGTGGGGGTGACTGGCGTACCTTTTTGACTAGATCAAGACTGCTCAGAATGTTAGCGATGTCATAAAGTCGACGAAGTTGATCTATCACGTGGGCGCGTACCCGCACAAGCGACAAATGGGGTATGAGATACAAATCTGGGCGGCGAGCCATGTGCACAAGCAGTTTAGACTGAGTCAAGCGCACTTTTATTCTTCTTCTCTGGTGGGCAGTCCAAGCCAAAGATGAGGCGGTCAGCCGCCGTGTCTAACTGAACAGATCCGGTCTGGAGGTGCAGCGGTGAGAATTGGAAAAAGAGGCCATCACAGGCAACAGCAACAACAACAATCACAACAACAGCGTCAACCAAGAGATATGGAGGCCAAGGGCTCAGCGAGGCCGAGCGATCAACGCACCGAGCTGACAAGAAACATCATGATGAAGCGCTGGGTCAGGACACCAAGGGATCTGTCAGCCCGCGTGTTGGGCGAGTCAGGGTCGGAATTTGTGCGCTTGGGTGTGTTGGCCTCAGTGGTGGTCAGGGTCTTGAGTTTACCCAGGGTGGTGCGCAAGGCGTCAAGACCCCGCCAGGTGTATGTATTCTTGGCTTTGCGTGAAACGAGTTCAAGTGCTTCAAAGACGTTAATGACATCGTAAATGCGCCGGCGTTCAACCTCAAGAGCTGCGGCGGCGTCACTGAGATTGACTTCTGGGTCCTGGCGATCCTTGCAAAACTCGATGAATCTAAATTGGAAACGAGGTTCGAATGAGACAGCGTGTGTATTAGGCGACCGCCACTTGGCCATCTGGTGGCGCGTCCCATCAGCAAAAAAGGTACCCCATTTCAAGATAAACAAGTCACCTACCCAAGCGCAATCCGTCCCAAGGTCTTGTCCATGCGACGGATAGGTTTGCTGGGAATATTGAGTGTGAAATTTGCCTCGGCTTGTTCAAGCAGCTTGGTTTTAGCACCGCTCTATAAAGAAAGGGTGCCATAAGTCAGGGAAGCGCGAAGAATAGGCTCAGGGTGTCAAAGCGCGAGATTCGAGAAAGAAATCCGAGAGAGACTCGAGAGATAGTGTGTGTATGTGTTTAGATTTGCAAAATCTCTGGCACGGCTTACCTGATGAGAGGCCTGCGACGAAGAGCGAGGCCCACGGGCCCGAGGCAGCTGGTCCACGGCAGCTTGGCCCAGGTCTAGGGCACGGGCTGAGGTTCGGGAGCTTGTGGCAGTTCGAATTTGTGTTCGTGTGGGCGTTGAGGACGAGGCTGGGCCTGGAGTGGTGGGGGTGTTGCTCGCTGGTTGCGGACTCGAAGCGTGGGAAGTCGATGGGGTGGCAAGTCTCCTGCTCCGCCGCGCCGTGGTTGGGGATGCAGGCTCAGGGCTGAGGTGTGGCTCTGGTTGCTCGGGGTGTTGCTGCTGCTCTGCGGCCTTGAGGGCACGCAGGCTTGGGCTGGCAAGGCGGCTGAGGAGCTCAAGACCATAGCTCGTACGCTTGGGGGACACAGGACAACCCGTGGACATGGCTGTGGGCTGTGTCATTCTGGACGACTTGATGGCAGACGAGGGGGGCTCGTGCCCTGTTTCTGAGTCGGCGACGGCGCCAAAATGATGTGTGTTGGGTGGCGACCAAGGCTTCAACTGGAGAGGGACGGTCAGATGGGGCGAGCAATGACAGGCAGATCAGCATGGCGCCAGCGAAGCGACCATGAGCGGGGTTGACGATCATTTGATCAAATGGCAGCGCATTGAGCGAGCGAGCGATGATCCAAACCACCGGATCCACATGATCGGAGGTGCACACTAGGGCAACAGGCAGCGCAGCACGGTTCTATGTTGCTTACCGGAATTGGCGGGTCACGGGAGTCCGTGCGAGCAAAAGTTTTGCAAACTGGCGCCCGCGCGCCGAAACTTTCAACGGTCACTTTTTCGTGCTGTCAGCTTGGGTGATGATGGACAACTCACAACTCTGTCTTGGGGCATGCCCGATCGCTCAAGCAGGAACCCACCAAAAGCCAAAAAGCGCGCGCTTTGAAATCTCGTAACGGGCGCCCGTTACAAACTGGGTGCTGCTGTGATGGTGAGATGTTGTGATGGCGCCTCTGGCTGCTGCACACTGTGGTTTGTGCGCCGCGCCATCCAATTTTATCTGACAATTCTTCATGGACCGTGTGCAGCGCCAAAAGTAACGGTCACTTTCAGCGCCACCGCGCGATGGCAAGTGCGGGAGAAACTGATACACGTGTTTGTAGCGTGATACTCTTGGGGTCAAGTGGCGCTGGAGAAAAGAGCCGTTAGATGATTTATGTATCAGTTCCGCCTGTAAAATCGCGTTAAAACAATAACATCAAGCCTCTAGAAGGTGTATCATTTTAACTTTATTTTTCCTCGCAAACCCATAGCCCATTTACACATCCAAAAGTCCCTTATTGTTGTTCCACTGACCTGAGGAGCTGCATTTTCATCGACTCGCACACTGAACTGGACCGAGCGACAATGGTGCGTTAGTTGGTTGCCCGTCGCCTCTTCGTCCTCGTTCAAGGTCTGTTTTGTGGGCTCATTCTGTATGATTGTGTAGATTCGGTTCTTCCTCATTCAAAATCGGAGCGGCAAGACTCGCTTGGCCAAATGGTACATGCCCTTTGACGATGACGAGAAACAGAAACTGATTGAGGAAGTTCACTCGCTGATTTCCGTGCGCAGCACATCACACACCAACTTCATTGAGGTGAGCCTTGAAGCTTTGACACTTTGGATGCCTCAAACTTGCTCGTCATGCGCAATGGGCATGCGTATTTTGCCAACTGTTCTTGTCATCTCACACGTTTGCTCTTTCTGCCTGCGCAGTTTCGTACTTTCAAGCTGGTCTACCGGCGTTATGCAGGCCTCTTTTTCGTATTTTGTGTGGACATCAACGACAACAATCTGACCTATCTCGAAGCCATTCACAACTTTGTCGAGGTCCTCAACAATTTCTTCACCAATGTTTGCGAGCTTGACCTTCTCTTCAACTTTTACAAGGTCTATGCGCTTGTGGACGAGATGTTTTTAGCAGGCGAGATTGAAGAAACAAGCCATACCGAGGTAAATTTGCATTCCCTGCATCACTCGTCATGCCATGAATCGCCCGTGTCAAGTGTTTGCTTGCCAAGAGGCGAATTGGTGTCTTTTCATTGCATTAATTAAGCCGGCATCCCGGCTCGGTTCTATACACCGGGATGTGACTATACGATGCATATACAGCGCTGTCTTTGTCTGGTGATGCGGCTTATGTAGATCGTGCCAACATCTTCCTTTACTGATAGCAATATTTTTTTCCCTTTTGTGATAGGTCTTGCGACGCCTGACAGACATCACCACGCGTGAATGATGATAGAACAAGCCCAAACTTATATCAACCCCAGGGTTTAAACGATCGGTGGCGCTGTGCGCACCGACCGACCATCTGAGTTGGAATTCTGCTCCCTCGTGGTTGAATAGTAGTGGGACGGGATTGCCTCTCACTTTTGCGCCTGCGGCGCCTTATTCACATGTCTTTTTCTCTCTCTTTTTTTTTTATATCGGATACTTTTTTAATTCACCCACTGCTTGTTGGCTACTCAGTGTTGTTGTGGTTTTGCTCTCGTTTGTACCTCGATGCTTGACTTTGTCTTGGACTGTTGCGATTGAGCATCTGTCGTCGCTCTTGAGAATCAGTTACATGACCGCTCAATTACGATTACCAACTATGAACACTACAATGAAGAGAAATGGAACGCAACGCTCCAAGTAATCGAGCCAAACCTCTATCAGTATTTCGAGAACTACCGAAAAGACCTCGGAGCTCGCTGGTATTCTGAAAACTCAGGATCGCTCGCTTGACTTTACCGTTCTCCTCAAGCGCCTTAAGCGAGAGTCAGAGAGAAGAGTGTTCATCTGATTCAATTTTTTGAACGTTCTCCTCGGTCAATGTCAGACAAACAATGTGATGGAAAGTAGCGTCCCCTATTGTGTGCTGTACAGCATCGTCCTTACAAGAAGTTGTTCTTACGAGAAGATCCGCAAATGGAAGCTCTGTAGACCTGCAAACCGGAAATCCATAAAGGGCCATTTTCGATCCACGAGGACGCGGGGTTAGTTGGGGTTTGCGTAAACCTTCGCTTTTCCTTTCCAGAATCAGAATTCTCTTCTGTACAAACTTGAAAGATGGAAGAACTTCTTCGTGAAGCTGAAGCTCTTCACTGGAAGGGAAGAGGGGAAGAGATACCTGGCCCCTTGCGAGACCAGAGTTCTGCCTGGCTGGAAAACACCGCTGAGATGCTCTTCACCCATTGTCTGACTGCTGCTCTGGGTATCAAGAACGATGTTCGCCTGAGCCTCAAAGGAGCTTACACTTACTTCGACTTGGTCGAGTCGACGCAGGTGACCTTTCCAACCGAAGAGCAGTACAAGAACTTTTTTAAAGCAGTGGGATCAACCAATCCGTGGGCAGCGCGTCGCGGCTCGGATGACGACGAGGATATGGTTGCTTGGATTGGCCAGCGCTTGATCAAGTTTCTGACCCAACCGAAGATTTCCCAGCGCACCGAGCTTGGCAAGGTGATCCACTTTCTGAAAGGACACAGTGCCAGCCTTCGCGCGTATGTGGACATCGTGACTGCGGTCCAGGAAGAACCTTTTCGGGTCGCTCTTTGGAACGGAAAGCGACAAGAGGCTATCATTCGTGGGTTCATGCTCTTCAAGATGCGGGAAGTTTCCCCAGACCCGAGCCTGCGCTATCAGGCTTTTGTGGTTCTTGCACAGGCGGTTTGCGATCGCTACTTGGAAAGCGACTTGGCTTACTGTAAGCAATTTCTGGACAAGACGCGCTGGAGCGACCCTGCCTTTTTTCTGCAGACGATTCTTGATGTCTGTAGGGGCGACGCACCGAAGCCGGTCAAGCGCCAGCCAACCTTTGCGGACATGCTTGCTGCAGAGCCTTCGGAAAAGCGTCCTCATCTGGAGGATAGCTCCGAGCTGCGAGCGATTCGGGACGGGAAATTCTTGCGTCAGTGCGTGGAGGCGACTCTTCCACAGGTGAACTTTTGTTTCATCTGGAAGTTTATCCTATATGTTCAACCCGATCAGTCGAACGAAGCTGCGCAGTTCTCGTCTTCATAAGTCTGGCGCTGCCATGGTTGAGCGGAACATGGTTGACCATTTTCACATTTCAGCGATACCTGAAATTTTTATGGATACCCGCACCTTGCGAGGTTGAAATTGAACGATAATGAATGTCCAACTTGATCACGACATGATGGCTGGCATGTGTCGCTCAAAACTTACAATTACCAATCTTTCGTTATTAAGCCTTACTATCCAGAGTCAGTCAGCTTCAAAATCTCAAGCATGCTTGCTTCGCTTTGCAGCGGCGCCGGGGGCTTTGGCCTCGAGCGTGTCTTGCAGCTGGCGCACCTATATGGACATTCATTCCAGCACAGTGAGCGCTGGCCACGCCTTGGAAGGCATGGTAGATAAACATTGGAGGATCAAGGGCGTCGGGAAGGATTGAGCTTACCATGTTCGGCTGGCGTCGTGCCAGCAACAATACATCCTCAGGTTGCACGGTCGTGCGCCGAGCATGGCGGGAAAAGTCAAGCAGGTCTTGCGCAGCCAGCACTATGCAAGGCATACCACCAGGGACTAAGCGACAAGATCACACAGCACGCAAGATTTTCTCAATGCCCGTTCTGGGTTGTGAAGAACAGACCTGAATGCTCCAGCAACAAGTGGGTCATGCTGCTCACAAACGCCCCGGAGAAACGCGGGCCTTCCTCAGTGGCCTCTGTCGAGCCCAAAGCAAGCAGCGGCACCACCACGCAGCCAGTTTAGCTGGCAGCTGTCACCCAAGCAAAAAAAAGCAAAAACAAGCCACATGCCAGATGGCTCATACCTAGCTCCTCAAGGATTGCTCGCACGTTGGGTTGAATCATCTTCGTCAGCTAGGATCAGACCACGAAGCGGTGTTCAGGCAGGATGAAAACGAGGTCTGGCAGCGAGTGGCTGATCCGCAATAGATAACTCATTGGGAACTACCTCATCCATGTTGCTTGTAACTTTGCATCGCAGGCATCTGTATTATCTTCGCTGCCGCCCGAGCGGTTCTTGTGCCCTCGCGCCAGTCAGTCGGCTTTGATCGGTTCACATCAGTTCCAAAAAGGATGACAATTCCGATAAATGTCAGATCAGGAAAACAAGAACGAACTTCCTTCGTTGCCAACAAACAACGCGACCGTCGCGACTGCTGCTGATCGCGGGACGGGGGCATGCTGCTTTGAATTGAGCTCTCAGCCAGCCACACGGCCAGCTCACCAACCGTTGCTGAGCATCCCTAGCACCATGGGCGCCCTGCATGTCAAGCCAGCCAGCTGGTCGTGCTCCAGAGGCGGCCCGGCTCCGCGCGAGGACTCGAAAGCAGGGCCACCAGACCGACCCGAGCCCCCGCTGGTGTACACCAGCGAGAATGGCGTTGCTATTGTGTAAGGCAATGACTGTGCTGCCCGCCTGCTTGCGCTCCAAAGTCAAGGGCGATTGGATCGGTCGCTCCCCTCATTCGTGAAACTTTGGAATGCCCGCCATCTGTGTAGGAGACCCTCTGGGATTCAACACGTGCCCGGCCAAGGTACACTTGTACCCCTGATCTGATCTGGTTTGTAAATTTCTTCTTCTCACATCCTGGCTCCGCATCCGCGCATCTTCCGACTTTAGGTGGCATTGTGGTTGTACAACAACCCCGAAGCAATGTCGTAGTGACTGCAGGCCCAGCCACGCATCCCACGTCAGCCAATGTCACCCCGCTTTCATCAGAGCCGCAGGCGGTTGCTCAGCCGGCAAAGCTGGGTTCTGACCTCTAGGACTTGGGTGTGGGATGGGCCGTGCAACACAACCACTCCCGGCATGGGTTCCTTCGTTGAACATGACTGAAGAAAGAGACTCAAAAGATTGATCAATAATAAGAAGCATACATGTACATGGTGCCGCTTTCACTTGCAGACGGTTCTTGTTGAGTGGAGTACGACCTTTTCGTATCGTTGTATGCTGGCCGGTTTTCCGGTGCCAAGCCGAAAGCATACAATGTTTAATCAAAACAGAAATTCAAGTCAAACTTTTTACAGCACCACAATTTCCTTGTCCACCTTGAGCTTGTCCACTGCCTGAAGAACTTGTGCAACAACGACGTCCATAGCCTGAAGCGATACTTCCTGGAACGGATCACAACATCCAAGACGCATAAGTGCCACCACGGACATGTTCATCGACATGTGAAGACATGATGCAAACGGTCCAGGCAAACCTCAAGTTCATGGAGCGGAGGCTGGCCGAACCGCCCGGCTTGACCTTGATGCGCTGGTGGATGAGCCATGAGCTGTTCTCGCCAAGCCTATGGATTTCACGAGATTCATCAGTCAGCCGGTGGCGGTCGATCTGCCAGGTTTGGGTGCATCAACGTTTAGGCAGCCCACCTGCAGCTGCGCCACGAGACAAGCACGTTTGCAGCGAAAGTGGGTCGAGACGACGTGGAGAAACTCGGGTGGCGTGTGCAGCAGCACCTGGTGCATGGCCACGCGCGCCGTCTAAGTATAACCCGCCAAATCGAAGTGTAAAGACAGGCGGGCAATTCCTGAGCTGTTGTGCTGTCAACTTTATAATAATCAGGGACTGCGATCGTGGCTGCGGCACGTTTCAGACTTTCAACTCGAGCGATAGTGCACGACGATCACCAGGCCACGGAGTGTTCCGAAGCCAGTTCTCATATGACCGTAGGCAGCCTCACCTGATATTGAAGAGCGCGATTATACCGCTGAGATGTAGGCTTGTTGCCATGCTCCTCATACCCAGGCTCATTGTAGTAAGGATCTGGCACCTGAAAAAAAAAACAAAAAAAAAAAAAACAGCGTCATCAGCTATAATGGTGGCTGATAACGGCGGATGTTCAACATGCCAAACACGTGCAATCTGCCTACCATGATTAACGATTGGATGGACAGCAACACCTGGAGCAATGTGGAAACCTGGGGGTCCCAGCTCGGCCCTTGCCAGGTTCCCAGCAAAGAAAGGCAAACTTTTCCATCTGTTCGAAATGGAATAATACATTGGTGGGTTGCAGGACAGGGCGAGCATGGCACTGTACAGATGGCGATAAGCATCAAATCGTACTCTTGTACAGGTTGGGGTTGAAGCGCACGTGTCCACGATCAGTCGTGACGAGTTGAACCAGCGGTGGTGTTTGGGGATACTATCCACAGCATCGTCAGTTCAGAGCAAGAGAACATTGAGGGAAGGAGCAGACAAAGGGGGAGCCAGCAATAAACCAAGTGGCGCCACGAGCAAGCGCAGGTGCCCTCAACATAATATATTAAACATGCATGCGTGCAATCAGAACGCACTTGTTCAGGAAGAAAAATATCGAAAAAAAAGCAGCCATTGGCATAAGGCGTATCTTCCGGACCGATGATGAGTGCCTTGAGTACATCCGGTCGAGCCTGGGCGTTGAGCAAGCAAAAGGACGAGCCAATTTACACGCAGAGCAAAACGTTTAATGAGTTGGCCGATATCGTGTGAAGGTGGAAACCCCTCTTTGATGAGTTGGGTTGTGCATGTCGTCATACCTCGTCTGCTCGGACAAAGATACTCCCCGAGAAACTCAGCGGCAACGACGACGAGAGCGCAGCAAGTTCCTTCTGGATGCGCTTCATGCTGCGTACGCACGGCGCAATCGACCAATCATCGGATGAGACCGGATGACATGACATGTAACCAACCCAAAGGATGGATAACAAGCAGGCAGATGTGCCGGTGCCATACCGCTTTAAAGGGGCTTGCTTCAGGGCACGGGCTTGTGAACTGAAAGAATGCCGACCAAGGTCCATTTCAATCGTTCGATACGATTGATTGCGCAGCTCCTTCACGTATACTTCTGCTTCACTCAACGATTCGGTCTCTTCAATCTCCTGCCGTTTCGCACCCAGGATGGTAATAAGAATGTCAAGGAACACTGGCAGATTCTAACGAGAGTAAGGACAATGAATAAAGCCGGGCAAGCCCACCATAGGCGCTTCAACATCAATGGTGGCAGCCTTCTTCGCAGCCATGAGGCAGCGAGGTATCCCCGCCATGCTTGCATCAAGTTGACGAACGCAATCAGTGACCACTCGGTTCATCTGAGGGGAATTCGGGGACACAAGCAAGTCAGCTCTTGACAAATTGTAAAACTGTAGTTTTTTAGCAAGCCATTTTCTTTGAAAACACGCCCTTCGGCGCTGGCACGCCATGCTGTCTGTGGAGAATGTGAGACGGTATGCCCCGTTGCGCTCTTGGCCGTACCTCCAAACTGGTATCAACGGCAGAGGCATGTGAAGTCTTTTGCAGAATCTGGACAAACGGCGCATGCATGAAGCGGCCAAATCTCATCCAGCGCCTGGAAATGCACAGGCTACGCGACCAAGAAAAGAAAAACACAAGCCAAAAGAAAGCAACGGCCCCGTTTGGGCGTGCTTGCGTGCGCGGCTGCTTGCCTGAAGATTTCGCTTGATGCCCCGTAATAGGTCCAATACATCCACCACATTGCATTCAAACTCATCGTTTCGCCCCACACGTATGTGCTACAGATTGCTCAAGCAATACCGACGCATAGCGAGAAATTAACATTCGCCTCATAAGGCATCGCATTCAAGCATCACTCAAACACCAACTGCAAGACGACGGTTTAGTCGCCAAGGTGCAACCCACGAGCAACCGCACCTCCTCAAGGGCGTCCTTGAGTTTCCACTGAGGCGCAAGAAGGGCGGCCAGCTCTGGTTTAGCCCCAAAGGTGGCGAGCAGGCTGAAAAGGGCACAATGTACGGCCCTGCGCTGCTCCATCATGTCGGCAAGATTGACACTTCGCAACATCTAGGTGGCCGTCCGCGAATGAGTCAAAACCTTAGGAGAGGCCGTTGCTTCAACAAATCGCGACTCCCCCGTACATTGGTCAGTGTATCCAGCATGCCCGAGGTCAGGACATGGTACCACAGAGCAAAGCACGTCGGTGCAGTGAGCTCAGCGCCCTTTAAGGCCATGTCCAGGTCTCGCAGTCGCTGCTCCAATCGTGCGTCCTCGGAGCTCTGACGTTGAGATGCAGCGTCCTGCAGGCAAGCCTGTTAGATTGCGCCTTCATCTCCGACAAACAACAAGGTCGGCAATTTGCCAGAGGCACGGCCAGTCAGCGGCCATTGCAGACCAGGACATGTAGGGCATACCAGAAGTCGTGCATCTAGGCGCGAATTTTCACGTCCACCAAAGCCTGTACCGGCTGACCAGGCCGTTTGTGCCATGTACTTGGGCTGCTTCGCGGCCCGACGACCACGTCTGCCACGACCACGTCCTCGATTGGTTCGTGCACCACGGGAAGAGTCGGTAGTAGGCGGGCCTCCACCAGCATCGGTTGGGTTGATGGCCTCAACGGCTTGTAGAAGACGGGTGAGTCCAGCCGTGGAACAGGGCAAGCGGGGCTAGTGTATGGCAGCGGCCAGGGTCAGGTCAAGCGAGTCCCGCCATCGGGTTCGTTACACTTTTGGCACGCCGTGCTTCACGATTTACCGCGAGCGTACACGCACCGTTGCTTGGCATCCATCCTGAGCCAGCTGGGCACCGTAGGCAACGACGGCTTCCTCACCCACAGCCGTCAAGATCTCAAGCGGCGTGTTTGGAAAGTCTGGGAGCGACGCGTCACGTCTAGCACCTATATGTTTCCGATTAGACCGTGCGTGCAAGCATGGGTCACTGCGCTTTTTATGGAATGAAGGGGACATGCACCTACCCATGGCAGCCTTGATGATATCAGTGGCACCAGCGCGTGCACACGAACCACACAGCTGGACGCCGGGCACGGTACAGAGCAGGCTCGCACGAAAGCGTTGCTGGCAGTGTTGGCACGTTTTGTGACGACGCCGCTGCCGACGCGGTTCTGGGTCAAGCAATACGACATCGTCTTCGAGGCCGCCTTCTTCCTGGTCCTCCAGATCAATCACGACAACCGGCGAAGAGGGTACGTCGATCTTGGACTCATCATCGGTGTTCACCAAAACCTCCTCCTCCTCCTCCTCCTGCGCCTACCACGTTTGGGCGACCACACATGCTCAGGATGCTTCGATCAACCACATTCATGGCCGAAGAGGCATTCCAATTCCTGCCTACCCTATCATTACCGGGTGGCCTCGGGTTGCATCAACTCACGTTTGACAGTTCAAGGGGAAGGTTTATTTTTGTGTCGCGCGAATCGTGCGCCATTCTTGCTTGTAACAAGCGCGGGTCACGAAAGAATCAACCGCCTGGGGTGTCTCCACATCTGCGACACCATACCACCGGCTGAGCCTCGTACTCGCAATGCCAACCAGTGTCACTCATGCATCCACGCGAGCACAACCCACTCGCCGCCTCTGGCCTCACCGTTTGTCTCAAGCCTTGAGCTGCCAAAAGTTCAAACGCTCGTCAACTAACATCCGGATGTAAACTCTTTGAACGTCAACGTTCATCTCTCTCCTTTTTTGTCAGACGAACGGTTTCTGTTCTGTTGCGCAAACATCAAATCGTCTGACAATTGCCAAGCCAGCAGTGTCGGTGCCATGGCGGAAAGGCAACAAGAGGGGACGGCGGAGGCCGGTTCCGGCCCGTCCGCGGTCCTGGAAAGCTATCGTGCTCTGGTGCAAGGGACGTCACAGGTCTCGGTTATGCCGAAGCATCGGGTGCAAATATTTCTTTCCTCAACTTTCAAGGGTACGTATCAGCCAATATCCATTGCAGTTGTGCGGCCAATCCACTGAGGGCCAAGTCTTGGGTCTCCGCGATGTCACGCGAGCAGCTCATATGCATCTTCATGACATTCTCTCTCACGGGCACGCTGTAGACTTCAAAACCGAACGAGACTATCTCATTGCCAATGTCCTGCCCAGCCTGCAGGCGCAGGCAAATCATCTGGGCATCGATTTTGGATTCTCTACGCTCCGTGTGTGTAGTTCTGCCGACCTTGGTTGGACCGATTCATGCTGCTCAATCTCATTGATACATCGTACCTTCGCTTGCTCGATCTCAGCTGGGGAATCACTCAAGATGTGGTGGATCAATACGAAACGGTGGATGTTTGCGTCCAAGAAGTCCGGCGGTGTGCCCATGAATCCTGCGCCGAGTTCTTCATTGCCCTTCTGGGCAATCGCTTTGGTTGGCAGCCACTCCCCAACCTGATCTTGCACACTGACTTTATGATTCTGCAAGAACATCTTGTACCCTTCTTACGCCCTCTTTTGAGCACAATCTATCGGATTGACGAGAATGCCATTCCCTCGACACACTGCCTCAGCGTTGAGCAACTTAACGCGCTGGTGAGTGAGTGCGTGAGTCGGGGAGCGAGTGAGTGAGTGTGGGATTGCGGTGATTGCTCACGGCTCACATCGGTTCATGCTAACTTTCAGCCGGTCGACAAGGTCCAAATGCTCATTGATGCCATGCATTTGGTGGCGACGGACACCGGTCGGCTCATTTCTGACAAACTGCGTTCTCAACTGACTTCCGGTCAGTGCTTTCCCGTTTCGAAATACCGTGTACATGCACTCTTGTACGACTCCAGGCCTTGCCAGGTGCATGGTTTAATCTCATTTACGCCATGCTTTCTGTGTGCGCGTGCAAACTTAGTCACAAGTATGGAAATCGAGGCAGCCTACGCCTTGGGTGCCAAGTCCCACCGCGACATGCTGGTTCTGCATCGCGCCATCTCTGAACTGGATGCTCGCAGCAAATCTCAGCCCCTCGTCAAAGCTCTGGTCGATTATGCAGATTTTGCATCGCACGATTCTACCAGACTCAAACACATGATTGGAGACCTTCGTGCACGCGACGGCATTCAGTATCGGGAATGGACCTTATCGGCCAGCGATTTGCTTGATCCGGGCTCGGCTATTCGGAGCACGTACCTGACAGAGCTGGCTCTTGCTGTGGAGAAGTTTTGCTCGACTGCCATCGACGCCACTCACAGTCAGCACATTGCTTGGAAAAGTTCTTTGAGCTCAATGCAGCTACAGCTTGCCACGGAGATCGATGTCCACCTGAAACACGCCGCGCATGCCACAAATCACATTCTTAAGCAGCGCAATGCGCCTGTCTGGAACTACCTTGCTCGAGATGCGAGCCAAGGCCTGTCGCCTTTCTTTCTGCAGGGCCAGGGTGCTTCTGGCAAAACAACACTTTTGGCACAGGTGGTGCAGCACCTACGCCAAGACTCCAGCCGCGCCTTGTTGGCTCGCTTCTGTGGACTCTCGACGCGTGCCCAACATGCCGAGCTCATCTTCAACGATTTGGCTTTTCAAGCTGAGCAACTCTTCGATCCTGAAGGCGCTGGTGACCCAGCCACTTTCACAACAGAACGCTTTAAAGCAGCCCTGCAGCGCGCAAATTCAGCCATGCCTGTGGTCGTTGTCATCGATGCTCTGGACCAACTCGTTGATCTTTCCCTCGAATTTTTGGTTGGTCTGTTTGCAAGTGGACTTCCCCCATTCGTATACGTGATTGCTTCCTTTAGTACCGACTCGAGAGCAAAGGCGTACCAGTCTCTATTCCGTGAGGCAGCCGCTCGGCTTGGAGTTGATTTATGTTCAATGCAGCTGCCGTCTCCCGATGCTGCGGATTTGTATCTCTCCCAACAGCTTGCAATGCATGGGCGTGTCCTTCAGCCGATCCAGCGTGACGCATTAATGACCATGCATGCGGCCGAACCTGATTGGCTTCACCTTGCCTTGCTCGTTCAATTTGGTCTTCAGCTTCACTCCTATGACACCGTCATCGTCCCCGAACACCCAACAACTCTCCAGCGACTAGAGGCAACTCTGCACGAGAGCTGCGAAGCGATGGGTTCAATTTTGGTTCGGCACACTCTCGCCCTCCTATTTCACTCGCGCCGCGGGCTGACCACCCAAGAGCTGGAGCACATTCTTTCTCTTGACGACGCCGTACTGGACGAGCTCTTTGTGCATTGGACACCTCCTCTTCGGCGCGTGCCCCCACTCGTAGTTGCTCGACTTCTTGCTCGACTTCGTCCGTTCTTGGTATGCCTCCCCCCGCCCCCCCCCGTCGTTTGCACATATGCACGTCATTAGAAGACACAAAAGTTTGTAGTGAATTCTTGCTATCTTATGACAATTGTGCTGCCTACCCTTGAACCCTAATGCTAGACCTCAACCGACATTGGCATGTTCAGTGTGCATACCTGGATCCATCCCTTTGTTGAGCAGGCTGTTGAGAAGTTCTTGGCAACCATGGATGTACAACCCATCATTGCAGTTGCCATCCGCTATTTCGGCGCAAGTCTGCTTGATGTTGATGTGAGCCTGCATCGTGCTCGACGCGTTCCCATTTTGCATCCCTACAACATCTCGAGCAGCTCCTTTGAGCCCAACCCGCGCGTCATCTTCCAGTTGCACCACCTGCTTACAAAGGCGGGACGCTTCGAGGAGCTCTTGAAACACTGTCTACTCAACGTCGCCTGGGTGGAGGCTAGCTGTCAAGTAGAAGGTCCAATCCAACTCATGGCCTTACTTTGTCAATGGCAAACTTTAGCCGATCACACGGATGTGGTCCAAGCTGTGAGCTGTTTGTACAACATACTGCGCATTCTCGGCACGGAGCTCGAGGGTCGTCAAACGTCCTTTGCTACTCAATTGCTCCTTCATGCCAGTGATCGGGAGGAATACAAGGAGGCCACTTCAGAGCAGGTGCAAGTCTACGTGCGCGAAGCTCGCGGTCTGCTTGAGCGCGGCCCTAGCTTGCTGCCATCCAGACCAGTGTTGGCACACTTTGGAGGTGCGGATCCTCTTCCCCACACCGAGTCCTTCTTCATTCTTCACACGCTCTCTTACATCGTAGCGTAACCCGAAAGCATGTGTTTTTTTGCTGAACCTGCTCGCTGGCTGCTTGCAGGGGGTCTCGTGCAGGTCTTGACTGGCCATCTGGAGCGCGTTACCTCCGTCGCCTTCTTGAGCGAAACCAGATTGTTGTCTGCCTCGAGGTGAGTGGCACAGATCGCTCTACAATCTTCTGTGTGCTCCAGTTCTTTAAAGGGGACATACCGTCAGCGAAAGAAATTTCAAACTTTACGCCTTGCATCCTGCGTCGCAGCGATCGGACTGTGGTCATATGGGCCCTCGAGCGCAACGAGCCTATTGCTCGCTTGGACGGCTTCAATTCCACCGTTTCCAATGTCTTTGTTTCCCCTGATAAAGATAAACTCCTTTGCACGGGCGCCACCATTTCGCTGTGGAATTTGAGCACCTTGACACAAATGCATATTTGGAAACGTAAGTCTCTTCATTCTGAACTCAAGCAGATGCTTGTACTGCCCGGCTCTATCCCCTGACTCTCATCTCTCACGCTTTTTTCCTTGCAGCTCAGACACGCTTTACTGCATGCCAGCCCTTGTGGGAACTTGAAGAGTTGATCATCTGTGATCTCGAGGGATCGCTTCGCCGATTTTCGTTGACCGGCGAAGAGTTGGCCTGCATCAATTTTGTGCGTGAGATGCGGGTCAATAGCTTGCTCTTCATGTCTTGGGATTGTGATTTTGCAGAAAATCAACGAGCCGAGGATACGCATGTTATTATTTTGGCCCACAATTTCCACGGCTATTCGGTTCTTGGTTACCCAAGCATGCGTTGCTTTGAAGTTCCCAACGCATACAACTGTGACAGCGAAACAAGCTTCGCACCCTATGATAGCAAACACATCATTCTTTGTGATCATCAACGTACCCTCCGCCTCGTGGACTGGCGTACCGGTGACTGCTTGAAGGAGCTACGCCCACACGACGGCACGGTATTGTTCATGTTACACGATCAGACTCATCAACGACTGCTGACCACTTCCTCAGACAAGTCTTGCAAGGTACGTCTTCGACTGTTTCACAAAGTATTCGCTTACCCTTTTGCCATCGTGTACTTTTGTCATCAAGAATGAACTCCTGCAGATGATCAATACCGCAGCATTCACCATTGAGGGCGTGTTCGAAGGCCACAGTGATTGGGTCAATCATGTGGCAATCTCTCCAGAGAATCAGGTGAGATGTTGGCATCGAATGATCGTATACAGCTTGCTGATTCTCTCATTTGCCTTGCCCATGTCGCTCATTGTCCATTGGTGCGCGATGGCTCAATACTTAAAAAGCTGGTGGCAACGTGCGGTGATGACTTGTCCATACGGGTCTGGCAGCGTGCCAACCAGACTCCCGCCACCGCTCGTCGTCATGGTCGTGAGGTGACGAGCTTGAGCTCGACCACCGAGCTTATTCTCTCATCTTCGCGCGACAAAACCGCTAAGCTCTGGACTGCAGATGGCCAGCTGCGCGAAACCTTTGAAGGATTCTCTTACTGGGTCACAGCCTGCATTTTTGCCTCGGATACCCTACTTGTGGCCGTGAGCGAAGCCCGTGAGCTGAAGCTGTGGGAAGCCGTTGCGGAATCCGACGGCTGGGCGGTGCATGCCACAATGACCGTTGAACACAAGGTCAATGCTCTTGCCTGTATTGGCCAGAAACGGCGCTTTCTTTGCCTCGGTGAGGTAACCGGTCGAATCCAGGTTTTGCAACTCGATGATTTCTCTCCGACAGCAAGGTTGGCTACTTTTTCGTCAGACGTTTGCGGTTCATGCCATGTTTGGGCCACTCAACGCTTTCAAGTGCACCGCCGTTGCTTTGGCTTCGCGTTGTCATTTGCTTGACATTTTTCTTTTTCTTCTTTTTGATCATACTTACTTTTGATGTGTCGTTCATCTCATCAGAGTGGAGCTTGAGGACGGTCCAGTTGTTGCCATGATTGGTCAAAAGCATGTCTTAGCCGCCGTTAGCAAAGGCGGACAATGCCTGTTGCTGCTGCTGGATGAGCAACTGGGCTTGCTTTCCAAGATTCGTGCTATCCGTGTGCCTGCTGGACAAGTCAGCGGCATGTGCATGGTGGGCCCATGGCACTTGGGATTTGCCACCACTGCAGGCATCTTCTCCATCCATCACTGTGTGGAAAAAAATGCTGCTCCAGTCGTCATTCGTCCTCGACTTGGTTCGCTCAAGGCTGCAAGTTCAACCGCCAACGGAGATATTGTTGCACTCTCGGGCTGGCAGCACCGCCTCCACGTACGCATCTTTGACACACGAGTCTTTGACACACAGTATTTGACATACGAGTCTTGCTCACACAAGTCTTGCTTTCAAATGCACTATATTATGACATGCTGCTTTTTCTCTCTTTTATCTCAGGTCTATGCTGTCAATGGAACCGAAGCCAGACTTGTGCAGAACATTTTTACAGGCCACGCCATTTTAACCTTACATTTTGCTGGCTTGTCGAATGGGCAAAGGTTACTTGCCGGTCTCTTTGACGGGAGTATTGCTCACTTTGATCAACGCGCCAGTGCGGCAGCCGAGGTGCTGGCAGCAGCACCAACGGCACAAGAAGTCGTGGTTCATGCCGGTCGATCTCGGACCTTGTCCGAGCTCTACCGCCCCGAAGTCGCAGACAGGCTTGACAAACTGCGGTTCGAGCCTGATATCGCCATTTGGCCACGTCAACAAGTTTGTGTTTGTATGCGCGTGTCAGTGACACTATTCACCTCATATCTGGTGTCTGCATGGGTGCTCTCTTGGCAGGAAAAACCGGGCGGATGCTGTTGGAGCTTACTTTTGGAAACAGGGGGAAAAGGGTGTTTTGGTGAGATACGTGGGCTGCACACAATGAAACTGCCCAGTATGCCACACTGACATGTATTCTTGAGTAGGCTGGACGAAAGAAGCGTTACTTCATTCGGAAAGGATCAATTATGGAGTATTACAAATGCCGAGACGGAAAGCCAACCATTTACAAAGGTTACATTGACTTGGGCACGATATTGACCTGCCGCGTTGAGGGGGATTGCTTGCTTTTGGTACGTGCCAGGCAATTCGTGCACAATACTCTGTGTTGCACGCGGCCATCCTCACGTTTGGGATATGCAGGTTGGCGACAAGCGTGAATGGAATTTAAAGGAAGACGCGCCAGGCGCTGCAAAGAAATGGCTAGATGCCCTTGATAAAGAAGGCATTGTGCGCTCCCTTACAACTTGAAGAAGGAGCTGGGAAGCAAGTCACGCGTTGACTGCAAAGCATTGTCGTCTGATGCAGGCAAGAAGCGGGGGCGATCTGGAAGATGGCGGCTAGGCATTGCGAGACCAGGTTTGTGGTGCAATGCCTCGAGATAGCGTGACACAGCTTGGGGTGGCGACGCTGGTGAATTGACATTAAATATGAGCTGTTCAGTGCGATGTGCAGCGTCTGTCGGTCGGATAGCAGCAGAGTCGTGTGCGCTATGCATCGTCGAAATTAAGTGCGCTTCTTTGACAGGTTCGCCAATGTCAACGCGCCGTTGTGGCGAGTGGAATCGCTCGCGCACAAACTTCGTCTGGTCGCGAAACGTTGCGCGATTAGTGGTCTCGAAGGCCATCTTTTCATGTGGGTGGGATACGATGAGCTGCTTAAAAGGCCGATCAGCTGCAGGAATATCGAGTTGCTTTGGCAGTCCGAGATCATGATAAAATGATGCGACGTCCGAAGCAGGAAGAGGAACCGAGCTAGAAGGACGAGAAATCGAACCGAAAGGAATATGCTGTGAGCCGTCTGAGGTCACAGTGTCAGACGGGTCAGGAAAAGAATAGGGGATACGATAGGTATCAGCTGTGGTTGTTGAATACACGGGCTGCTGATCAATGGCATAAGGAGGACAAAAAAGCGGGCGTCTCGCGGACAAAGCGGGGTAAGAAAAAGAACGCAGAACAGAGTCAGGATCAATCTTCAGCGACACCTGGTCCCCATCCTTGGCACCAAAAGCGTCCTTCGATGTCGTCGCAAACCGCCCCTCGTCGCCATCCATCTTCAGCGACACCTGGTCACGGTGACGCACCGGCTCGGGTCGCTCGCTGCGGTAGCTGCGGAAGGCATCGCCGCTCGTCGTCCCCGCCGACATGGGCCCTCGGCTCTCAATCTGCACCTGGTCCTCCGTCGGCGGACGGATCGGCGCGGCACGCTCCCCATCCTTGGCACCAAAAGCGTCCTTCGATGTCGTCGCAAACCGCCCCTCGTCGCCATCCATCTTCAGCGACACCTGGTCACGGTGACGCACCGGCTCGGGTCGCTCGCTGCGGTAGCTGCGGAAGGCATCGCCGCTCGTCGTCCCCGCCGACATGGGCCCTCGGCTCCCAATCTGCACCTGGTCCTCCGTCGGCGGACGGATCGGTGCGGCACGCTCCCCATCCTTGGCACCAAAAGCGTCCTTCGATGTCGTCGCAAACCGCCCCTCGTCGCCATCCATCTTCAGCGACACCTGGTCACGGTGACGCACCGGCTCGGGTCGCTCGCTGCGGTAGCTGCGGAAGGCATCGCCGCTCGTCGTCCCCGCCGACATGGGCCCTCGGCTCCCAATCTGCACCTGGTCCTCCGTCGGCGGACGGATCGGCGCGGCACGCTCCCCATCCTTGGCACCAAAAGCGTCCTTCGATGTCGTCGCAAACCGCCCCTCGTCGCCATCCATCTTCAGCGACACCTGGTCACGGTGACGCACCGGCTCGGGTCGCTCGCTGCGGTAGCTGCGGAAGGCATCGCCGCTCGTCGTCCCCGCCGACATGGGCCCTCGGCTCCCAATCTGCACCTGGTCCTCCGTCGGCGGACGGATCGGCGCGGCACGCTCCCCATCCTTGGCACCAAAAGCGTCCTTCGATGTCGTCGCAAACCGCCCCTCGTCGCCATCCATCTTCAGCGACACCTGGTCACGGTGACGCACCGGCTCGGGTCGCTCGCTGCGGTAGCTGCGGAAGGCATCGCCGCTCGTCGTCCCCGCCGACATGGGCCCTCGGCTCTCAATCTGCACCTGGTCCTCCGTCGGCGGACGGATCGGCGCGGCACGCTCCCCATCCTTGGCACCAAAAGCGTCCTTCGATGTCGTCGCAAACCGCCCCTCGTCGCCATCCATCTTCAGCGACACCTGGTCACGGTGACGCACCGGCTCGGGTCGCTCGCTGCGGTAGCTGCGGAAGGCATCGCCGCTCGTCGTCCCCGCCGACATGGGCCCTCGGCTCCCAATCTGCACCTGGTCCTCCGTCGGCGGACGGATCGGTGCGGC